AAAACAAAAACAGAATTGCATCCTTGGGCTGAAAACACAGGTCCACAAGGAAGGAAGGAAGGGAGGAAGACACGTGGCAGAACCCACTGGGCAGACAGGGAAGGCCCTGGGCTGGCACTGCGGGCAGCTCCCACTGATCCTGAGCAGCTCGAGGGGTTTACTCCTGGATTTGGGGATTTTCTGAGAGCGTCTGGAAGCTCCAGCCATGGAATCGAGCAGGAAGAAGAGGGTTCATTTGTTGTTCAAAAGGTAAATAAAATCTAATTCACCTTGTAGTGCTGCAGGAGAAAATTGTGAAAGTGAAAACCTGAAAAGGATTAAAATTCAAAAGACAAAGTAACATAGCACTTACACTGATGTTTTAGGAGCTACTGAGAGTTCCCAAATGATGCCATTGGATGACTGCTCTGCCCTCAGCATTAGGTATTCCAGTTCATTGCCTTTGCAAAGGGAGCTGTGGCTGGCTTTCATTTCTGGGCATGCATTGCAGCATTTGTTTCTCTGGGTCTGCCTGTCCTTCCCCAGGCTCAGTTGAGGGCTATTTCACACAGCCACTGAACCCAGTGAGGCTGGGAGCAGTGTGCATATATTTGGAAGAATAAAAATACAGCAAAAAATCAGCTGCTGGGGGGTCTGCCTTGTGAGAGTATGGTTACGCTGCTTTAATGGTGCTGATTCCAATTTCTTAATTCACAAGGAAGCAGCAGTGTCTCCGGGCTGCTCTGTAAACTTGCCTCTCAATATCAGTGGCATTGAACTGTGATGCTCTGCTGGCAGCACAGCCCACTGCTGGCTGCACCCCTCTTTGCTGCAGCTTTCCAGATGTCTCCCAGCTGCAGGGATGCGTGCCCCTCAGGCAGAGATGTGGTTTTGCTGCCAGACACAGCCCTTGCACCAGCTGCATGCCTCCAGCTGCCCAGCTGGGAGGGAAGGGCTGCTCCACAGCAGGGGAGGACCAGCCGTGCTTCTCCGCACTGCCCAGGCTTTGTTTCAGTTTGTGCTCCTTCTCAGCAAGGTCTCTTTGGTGGTTTTTTTCCCTGCTCAGGCATCCTGCTCCACCCAGACAGCCTGCTAGGCTCTGCAGGTACAAGCCAGGCACTCCAAAGCAGCCAGCTCTGGCTGTCACTCCCATCCTCCAGTAAGCGTCATGTTAGCTATATGGGGAGCAAGACTTCTGTGAGGGTGCTGCCTTTTTGTTTCATCAGGTGCTGCAGTGATTTAATCCAATATACAGAAAACCTCCATCTGGCCAGGCCAGCACGGCGGTTTTATAAATGCTTACACAGCAGCAGCACAGCTGTCAGTACCTATTCAGGCATAAGGCAGAGTTTTAACATGTGTTTACTAGTATGTTCTTACTAACATGTCCTAAGCTCTCGTGTTACCAGCTGTGGACATGGCATGTGAGCGAGATGACAGTCCTGAATGGCCTCGTGCTCGTGAGCCACAACTCGCTGCAGGTCAGCGCGATGCAGCCTTTGTTAGCTTCACCTCACCCACTGCGAGCCTCTGCTGCGTGGGGTGCACGAATACCTGCCTGGGAGTCCCACAGGAATACAGCACGATGTCAGGAACTGGTCTGTGGCAATAACGGGAGGTAGCAATAGGTCTGCTGGTGCTGGGGCAGCTGCGCACACTGCTCAGTGGTGGACCAGCATACAGATGGGTGCTGGTATGCAGCAGCGGGGAGGGCACATGGAAGGAGACAGCCAGCTGACCCCGCTCTCCACACTGCAAAAGCCCTTTAGATGAATGCAGAGGAGATCAGCCCCCAGAGCTGACATCTGACCAGCACTGACACCTGAGGTACACCCGGATTGCTTGGGCTGGCTCCCAAAACCATGTTGGCTGTGAGTTGGTCGAGCGCTGTGCCATACATTAAAATGTCCTCTGGCTTTGCTGCTGTTCATGCAGAAGTGCATGCAAAAAACAAAAGTGAGAACAGAATGAGGGGTCAAGGACTCCTCAGGTCAGGCCCCAATACCTGTTGTTTGGGTCATCCTATCCATAATACAGGGGACTTGATGCTGGTCAGTGTCCCAAGGCTTTGGGAGCCTGATTAGCTACCGTTTGTAAAAGGCTGAAGAAGTCTTACCGTGAATCTATGACCATAGAGCAGAGAAAATGGGAGGCTGGCTTATGGGCATGTATTATGCTGCTCTGACTTTCTTTTGGTGTTATCGATCGAGCATCTTGCTAAGATACAGCCTTGCCTGCTGTAGTGGTTTAATTCATTTTTAAGCATCATTATTTTTCATGTTGTGGTCTCCCCTTGCTTGGGGTGCCTCTCATCGCCCATCCCCAAAAACGTCCATTCCTGTCTGTGTTTCAAGGCACGCGCTGCTCCCACATGTGTGTGTGTGCACACCAGGGAGATGGAGAGGCAGCTTCAGCTACGCTAAGCAATTAAACTCCGGTAGCTCAGGGATGAGCAGGAGGCCGTGATTTTCTTTTCCTTTGCAGTAATTGCCTCTGCAATCAGCTTTGATCACCCGAGAGCAGGGGAGATGAGTGCTGCAAGTTGACATCAGTGGTTTTAATATATCCATTTACATATACAGGAGCAGTGCAGCATACAGCTTTCCATAGTGTCTCTGACCTGAAACCATCGCTGCTCCATAGACACCTCATTTAATTTAATACTTCACCGCCACTGCGGAAGCCACAGGACGGGGATGGGAGGGGGGATAATCAAGCCCTCACTCTCTTGCTCTCTGTGAATGTCTGTAGAAATGACATGAAAGTAATTGCTTTTGAAAAGCAAAGCAGAAATGGCACAACTGATTCCACTTAAATGAGAGGAGAAGGAGTGGGGGCGGGAGACGTTCTCCCTACCCATGCCACCTCCTGCCTGCTGCAAGCACAGCCCTCTGTGGGTCTGTGTGGGGCCGAAGGAAGGGTGAGCTTGGCTCCAAGGGGTGTGGGTGAGGGAGTTGAGCTCCAACAGGCAGCATTGCTTTGAGCTGGATGCATCCCTTCAGTTACCTCAGACCCATAGGCGGATGCTGCTTCATGTAGCTGTGTGACATCTGTTGTTGCAGTCATTTCTGCTCCTTGAAGGCTGACAGAGAGCCTCATGACATTGAGCATCCAGGAATTATTCTGCCTCCTGAACACGCTCACCTGCCTTGCAGCTGGCAGGGGCTGTTTCTCCTGCATGCTATGCTGTACGTTAAAATGTCCCCTGGCTTTGCTGGTGCTCATGCAGAAGTGCATGCAAAAAACAAAAGTGAGAACAGAATGAGGAGTCAAGGACTCCTCAGGTCAGGCCCCAGTACTTGTCAGCTCCTCTCTGTCTCCAGCCCATCTAACATTGGCTGTGTGGGTAAAGCTTTAGGACTGTGAGCAGCTATGGAAAGCATCCCATGTTCAATACAAAGGTGTCCTTTACTGTTGCAGAGTACAGGCACAGAAACACATGTGCACACACTTAAATCCACTCAGAATTTAAATGCTTCCTTTGTTTTGTTGGTGCGCATCGTGCTGGACAGCTGTAACCTTTCTCACTGTGGGGCTGAGTGGTTTACACGCATACAAAGTATGGCTTGGAGGAATGCGGGCGACTGTGCTGATAACAGTCTCCAATATGACTTTAATGTAGACATTAAAATCATTTAATGTTAATTACATGCAAACTGATTATTAATGTATTTACTGAATGCTGACAGCTACGTGACAGTCTTCAATAAATATATTTTACTGATCAGTTAGCATTTAATTAATATTGAAATTCTTTCTAGGTTTAGTGAACAATAATTAGGGCCCTCAGTGGCTGTGTCTGTTGTGGGGTACCCTCGGTGCTGGCAGAGCCCCCCTTGCCCGGCAGCAATGAGGGCACAGGCAGCAGGGCCAGCAGAAGGCACGGAGAGCTGAGGCAGCGCGGCTCAGTGCAGTACAATGGGCCCGCAGAGCTCGGGGTGCTCCTCCTGCCCAGGCTGCTTGCAGACCAGGCTTGGCAAGAAGATGTGGTGCTGTGCCTCACACATTACCTCATCCTCATGATCCTGTAGATGCAGTGTCTTTTTCCCCAGAAAGCTCAGCTGCTTCCTGCAGCCCATGAGAAGTGAAAGCAGCGTGCTTTTCACCTGCAGCAACAGCTCTGCAGCATGTTGGGGCCCTTTTTCATGGCCAGGCATGGTATAGCCTCCACCAGCAGCACCAAGCAAACTAGTTCTCAGGCCACGTGGGCACTGTTTTCTCTTGCCTCCCTGCTGTGAGCAGGGCAGGAGCCATGCGGTGCCCTTGCTGTGCTCCGTGCACCACCATGTGTGGAGAGGAGCAGTGCCTCGGAGGCAGTGGTCAGTGTCGGGGGAGCTGCTCTGCCACAGGGCCACAGCAGCACCTCCAGCTTTGGAGGATCAATATCTGCATCTTGTCATGCTAATTGCATTTTGCTTGACACTCCTGATTCTTTCCCTCTCCCTCCTGGTGTGAACTCTCTGCAGCTAGAATGCCGAGAATTGGGAATGCCAAGAAATGAGAACACCAAGCCCTCCGAGCCCACTGCTATTGCAGCAGGACAGGAGGGCCAGGCCAGCCACAGGCACTGCACTCCCTTCTTCTTTGATCACACAGGAAATGCCTGGAGGGGCCTTCATCACAGGGCAGAGCCTGGAGTCGAAGCACAGGGCTGGACCAGGCACTGGTTATTAAGCCATCAGTTATAACTTTGGGTGTGCTCAGTTGCTCTGTGCCTTCCTGGCCCGGAGCACCGGACACAACCTCCATGTCCAAGGAGGAGGCACCCTGTGTAGCAGTCTCCCAGCCTTCCTGGGGCATATCCCTGCTGCCACAGGCGTGCACCCGGATCATAACTACCTATTGGCTTCCTGTCCCCAGAACATCAGGTTTTTGCAGCTGGTGTGCGGGGGGGTGTCTCCTCCCGACAATCCCCACCCCCAGCAGCATCAGGCCTGTGCTGTTCAGGGTTTTGTTAAGCCGTTTAGTATTAATTGATTTTTTTTTCCATTTTTTCTTTCTTTCCCTGGGCGGGTCAATAGCTGGATGCTCAAGAGCAGAGGATCTATCAACTGCAGACCAAGCAGAGGCAGAGGCAGAGGCAGGCAGAACCGGAGCAGTAATGCAGCCAGATCCAGCAGCTCAGCCAGGAGCTGGAGGCCACCACCAGCTGCAGGAGGAAGCTTGGATGCAGGTAGGAGAAGATGCCAGCATGGTCTGGCTCGGCAGGCCAGTATTGGAACTCTATTTAATACATTCACAGCAGTGGTAATAATCTGCTGCTCCTGTCTAAATGACAGCATAACAAAGGGCTAAAGATGCAAAAGTGGAGTCTGTCAACTCACAGTGAGGAGGGAAAGTCCCGGGAACTGGGGAGACGGCTGCAGCTCTGCTGTCTGTGAATAGGTGCTTGGGCTGCACTTGACTGAAGATGTGACGGCTGTAATGCACGGATGTCCTGCATGCTAATCCTGCTGCTCACCTCCTGAGAGAGAAGGGGAGAGGGCAGCTGGTAGGAAGCTGGAGGAAGACCACACCTCGCAGGACATGCTGCCCAGCTATGTAACAGTGATGTGTGTGAGCCAGGACAGAGGCTTGGGTAGCTGAAATCCTGAGTTTGCTGCAGGACGAGCAGACATTTGCAATGGGAGCTGCTCTGCAGACCTGAGAGAAGGCCTGCAGGGCAGTGTTTGTGTCTGTCATCTCTGTGCCATTGTCTGCTTGGTCCCCTGCCCTCATACAGCTCCTCTCCTCCAACCCCTGTATTTCAGAGCTGCCAGGAGTCACACTGCTCAGACTGCACATTCCTTCTGCATGCAAATCTGGCTTGGGAGAGCATGCTACTCACATGTCGGCTCAGCCGTGTGTTTGTCTGCCTGATGTCCATTCAGGCACCTTTAGTCGTTAATGGATTTTGACCGCAGTCTGTGATCAGATCCAGATGGCAAACAGATTCTGGGACATGAAGAGAGTGGATCCTAAAAATCTGTGCAGGATTACTTGCTTAGTCTGCATTGTTCCTCCACAACACCTGCTTCTAATCTCTTTCAGCACCCCTTAAACCAGAAGAATTATGTCTATTTTTAAAACTTGATAGCACAATATTCTCGGTGTACTGGAAGACTAAATCAGCCACGTGCTACTGGTGCTGGAGTATCAGGTCTGTGTGCTGGGCAGTGGAATGCTCCGCACAGCTGGCTTGTCCAGAGGGAGAGCAGCATTGTAGAATCTGAGTGGTACTTTTCTCCTTGTTACTCAAAGTGGACATGGCTTGTTTCACTTGATTTGGTGATAGTGAGGTACGTTCACTTCATGGGAAGGAACGTAGCTAGATATTGTTCCTTTTACTGCCATGTCATCCTTTGTTCTCACTGTGTGTGTGAAGAGACAGCACAGCGTGTGGGCAGAACTGCATGTTGCAAGCCTGTTTTCAGATTGTCCGCTGGAGAAGGCTGCTGCTGGCAGTTTGCATGCTTTTGTCTGCTTGTGTGCATGAATGGTGAAGGATGAATGAATCTGTGAGTGTGTCATTGTGTGCCTACATTTTTTCTCCATATGTATACGGGTATCCATACACTGATTTGTGCAGTGAGAGCACAGCAGGGAGGAATCATGCTTCTGTTTCTTCTTACAGTTACTCTGTCTTACTCCCTTCCCATCCTATCCCTTCCATGCGTTGATGCTGATGTCAGGTGAGTCTAACTGCTTGCTTTTGGTGTGAAAGTGACAGATGCAACAACACAGTTCTAACCTTTCTCCTACAAAATTCCTAATCAAAGCACATCCAGCTCTGTTACATAAAAGTCTAACATTCTTCTGGGTCAGAACAGTGCTCTGCAGTGCTCTGTGACAGCAGCTTATGCCCATGCCTTGGAAAGAGGAAAAAAAGGAGAAGCTGTACTGTTGCCCAAAGATGCTCTCCTATCTCCGTGGTTACAGGGATTCCTGATTCCAAGCTGGAATCTTTGTGTTTAACAGCCCTGGAGGAATTCTCATCAATAATTTGTCGAACTATTTTTGTAACCCAGACATTATGTGGCTTCTGCAGTGTTTCACAGCAGCAAGTTCCACTGTTTAGCCATACATGGGATGCAGAGTCATTTCTTTTTGTTTACTGTTATTTTATTGAAAGACTGTGACCAATCATTCTTTAATCACCTTTTATGTGACACCTGCAATTTTATGCTTTCTTTCCATTGTCCTCCTTCTGCACAGAAGGGCTCCAGTCTTTTTTGTCTTTTTTTTTTTTTTTTTTTTAATTAGGGAAACAATCCCATCATTAAATCATCGCTGTCAGCCTTTACCATACTTTCATTTGTCCTGTTGCTTTCAGTTGTATTATTTATGCAGTTTCAGGGAGTGCTAGATTTTGACTAGAAACAGGGCAGTCCTTCCCACCACACCAGCTTACATCTTGCTCTGCCTCTATCCAGTTCTGCTTAAAGCTCTTGTCCCATCTCTGTCTCCATCTGGCTGTGCAGGAAGCACTGCCAAACCCAGCCCCAACCTGCTGTGCCAGGAGCTGTCTTAAGCACTTTCTGATTCTCCCGAAGATTTCCATCAATCCACCCATCTCCATCCCCATATGTTGCAAGCTTCTCTCCAGCCTCTGACCCCATCCAGCTGATGGACACTCCAGTTCCTATAGCTGCCTGGGGAGCTCTTCATCCCATCTTATCCCAGTATCACATCCAATCCCCATCCTTGTCTGGCTATGCTAGGCATCTGAAACATCTCCAGACTCACCTGGCTGTGCATGATCTCTTCTCCCATCTCCAGTAGTGCCAATTTTTCCCACGTTTCTCCATTTCCCTCACAACTTGTACCAAGAGCCAGTAGCCCTCTCCAGGAGAACTTTTCTAACTGCACATTCCTGATGATCCAAGATAGCTTTGGCCCACCAGCATGCTTCTGCTCGTGTGTAAATCCATTTCCTGTCCTCACTAATTGTATTTCTCAGAACTCACTCCTCAGGATGTGCCTGGCCTGCCCTTCTGCATGTGCTGGTTTGAGCCAAACACGGCTGCTGATTGATCTGTTCACATGGGGGACTTTGTGCTCCAGGGCTGGCAGTCCCAGGATGCCTGTAGCAGGGCAAACATATCAGGAGTCTGCAACCTGTAATTCAGCACTAGGAACGTGAATTATAGCCCTGCTCTTTAAGGAAAGGCTGGCAGTGCAGCTCTGCCTGTCAGCTGAGACACCCACCTGGTCATGAGCTCTCCTGGTGAATGAATCAGGATTTGGCATGTCATTGTTTAAAACAGCCCCCATGCTAATGTCTTTTTGAAGTGAAACTGAGAGGGCTGTTAACCTCAGTTAGCCAGTTGTCCTCACCGTGACCTGGATAAATCATCATAGCAGAGCTCCAAAGAACATGGCTCTCATTGCTCTGGAAAATGGAGCTGCAGGGAAAGGACTGTGATTTCAGTTTATAGGTGCAAGGAAGGGTTCCCTGCCTTCCTTCCCAGGATTGTACAGCAAAAGACTGGCGTATTGCCATATGTAGCAGAAATGCTAAGCCATGGCTTGAAGCAGTGATTGAGCACCTGGTGGGGAGCAGGGCAGCCCAGGGGAGCTCAGGTGCATGCAATGTACCTGATTGAAGGAAGGGCTGGAGCCAGCCTCCACCCCTTCCCAGACCTCATTTAAGGGCTGGCAGTGAGGGTGTCTTTACTGAAGGTTCCTGTCTATCTGAGGCCTTCCACGGGTAAGCAGCTTTTTCTTCCTTTGTGTGTCCATGGCTGCTATGTGTGGGCTTTCCCTCATTTGTTGCAGTCTAGGATTTTGCTACCCTGGTGTTGCTGCTGTGCTTTCCATTGCATTAGAGCATGCCAAGAGCCCTGCTGGTGCTCCAGGCTGGGCATCAGGTCTTAGAGAGGTCAGTTCCCTTCCCTGAGAGCCATTAAAGGAGTTATGGATTGTACTGTGGCTTGTAGAGAGGCAATTTGCTGTACCTGGGAGTGGGTGAGTTTCCAAGAAGCTACTGGGATGTCTCATCATCTAGCCCCAGCTTGTGACCATGTGGGTGCTGGTGCAGCACCAGGCTTCCAGGTACATTCTTTTTAGTTGAAGGCTGGGCTTTCTCCAGAGCAGTCTCTACCTCTGAGCTGTCCTTCTTTGTGGTGGAGAAGGATACAGAAAGGACAGTTTCTCCAAGAGGAGACAGTGCTGTTCTGGGCCATCACATGCTCTGGGGTAGTTTTGTGCAGCAGGAGCACCACATCACATGCTGCTCTCAGAAGAACACCCTGCTTTCATGTGTCACACTGACTGCTTAAACTGTGGTCCAAGTTTCTCCTTGCCAAAGCAATGCCAGGTTCTTGTGAAGGGTTAAGAAGATCTGCTACAGTGTCTGTCTAGGCCAATGTGTCTTTATCAGAGCCAACATCAGCAGCTGTAGAGAAAGGTGCAGGAAATTTACAGCAGGTGGTTCAGAGCAGCTCGCTCCAAAGGCTGATTTGGAGATTGGCTCATTCTCAGCACAAGGCATTTCTCTCTGCAAAGAGCTGTTTTGACTCTGGGAGCTGTTATCTGTGCAGAGGCCTCATTACTTTATCTCATAGGGCACTCATAGCTGCTGTTTCATTGTGTGGCGGTGAGTTCCACCAGACAGGTTTTCTCTTGTTTCTAATCTGGCTGAATTTTCTTTTTCTCTCCAGCGTGACTGTGAAAAATCACAGCACCAGCTGCACATAAGAAACTCCTGGAAAGAAGAACAAAGCCAACTGTTCTCCATGTCCACGAAGGCATGCCCAAGAACTAATGGGTGTATCCTACATCGAGAAAGATTCAGGTTAGGAACAGCTTCTAATGGAGAGGAGAACAAAGCAGGCAAACAGACTGCCAGGGGCCCAAGGATTCTGCATCACAGGGGATCTTCAAGGACAGACAAACAGAAGAAAAGGCACATATAGATTCCCTTGTCATAGAACTGCAAGATGGGCCATCAAGCTCTTGAGATTCATGCCAGCCTTGCTCATTTTCTAAACCCAGCTTTGTTCATACCCTGATACTCATCCGTCTTCTTCAAAGCCCCACCATAGTCTCCTTTAGCACTTATGTGCTATCAACATATCACTTGCCAGGGTGATTGTTCTTTCTAGCAAAGTGACTGCGCTTGAGTCTTGGATGGATGCTTGCTTTCTACTGTGGTTCACCTGACCTCCATGAGACTCAATGCCTGCTTTGTGTTGTAAATGGTGTCCCATCTTGAGATGCATTGGCCATGTTCCTGTGCTGGATAGTAACATTGATCTGTGGGAGTATTTTTCCCTCAAACTTGGAACCTCATTCTTATGCTTCTGCAGGCTTGTTCATAGGAGACTGGCTGAGGAGCACGCTCACTGCTGTTTTCCCAGGTAAATTCAGCCTTGCTTGTCTTCCTCACTACTGGTGTTCCTTCAGCTCTCTCCTCAGGGTACAGGGTTCTCTTTGTACTGATGCTATGGGTTGGAGGAATGCACAGAGTCTGTCCTCTTCTGGCTCTCTGGAAGGACAAACAGGGCTGCCTGATTCCTTGTCCAGAAGCCTTAGCACTCACCTACGTATACTGGGTTGATGACTTGGTGCTCCTTCCTGTGTTCCAAAACATGCCGCTGCCTGGGATGGTCCAAGGTAGATGTATGTTTCATAGAGTGAGCAGGGGCCTCAGTGCAGTGGGCTTGAGACTTGGTGCCAGGGCCTTAACTGAACTAAGCAAGGATCAGGCAATTGTGCTGCTCAACAAAACTGCACAGCTGACAGTCTCTGAGCTGCTCGTTAGCAATACATCTAGCTATCTGTGACACTTTAGCTGGGGCTGGTGGGTGCCTTGTTCCTTGAGTCGCTCTCAGGAACTTGCATGTGGAAAGAAAGCTGGATTTTCTCCTTTTTACTACCTCCTTATCTGGCCATAGGTTACCCAGTAGTCAGAATGCATGCCTTAACACATGCTGAAGAGAGCAAGCGGAGCCTGGAGGATGTTGATGGATGACAAAATCTCTGATACATACATCTGTAAGACATGTGCTGCTGTGCCTCGGGCTTTGGTCTGAGCATTGCAGTTCCACCCTTGGTAATAAACATATGAGTAGATGAAGCAGAGATGGGAGTATAGATTTGCTATCAGAAACTTTGGATTTAATTTCCATTCTTAGCTGTGTGCAGTTTCCTATACGTGCTGTTTTGCAAATGAGTTGCACAATAGCTATCAAAGACCACCTAGAAACAAGGTCATCTTGATGCCACTTAGTTCTGCTGCGCAGGGGTGAATCCAGGCCAGGTGAAGGTGTGGGTCGGACCCGTGGAAAGGTCTCATCTATGCTCCCTGATGGCTGTATGAACCTACTGCTCTTTGCCTGCTTGGTGTTTGAGTGCAGTCGTGGTGCTGGGGAAGTAGAATTGCCTGGCTATCAACAGTTGACCTACCTGGCCTCAGTAATCAAAAGTGGCGCAGTTTTCTCAGATGCAGCTCACTCACGGTGCCCTACACCGGTCTGTGGGGCAGCAGCCACTTGGATCATAGGTCCTCAGGAGGAGGGAGGAATTGGTGCATGCATACCATACACCAGGACACAAAGCAGCTCCCACACGGACACCCTGGCACTGCCAGTAGCTTCTATGGGGCTGGAAACACAGTCACAACAGCCAGTGGGATCTGAAAGTGACATGGCAAGATGAAATGTATAATGTGTGCAGACACTGAGGAGGAACCCCACCGGGCACCTGGGCCTGAGGGCCGGCTCCACAACACAGATGCTAGAGGGAATAAAGGAAATGACAGAGGATCAACTGGTCTGCAAGGCTGGTTTCTCTCCAGGAGAAGTCTTTGGGGCTGTGGAGAAATGGGCAGCCCCCAGGCTATGAGGTTAATACAGAGCCACGGCTGTTTGTATAGCTGCAGAGCCTTTAAGAGAGACTTGGGGAAACTAGCTTGGATTCCAATGAATATTTACAATTACACTGCTCCAAAGTGGAATCCAATCACATCACTGCAGCATGCAGTCTTTGTGTATTAAAAGAAAATGAGAGGAAAGCAGGAACGATGGAGTCGCAGAGCTGCCTTTGGAGAGACATCCTGCTTGTGACAGAACTAAAATGCTTTATTTCTGATACAAGCAATTCATTCTTTGGGCCTTTTGCTTGATATTAAAGTTCCTTGTTTGTTTGTTTGTTTTTTTTAAGTGAGAGTTTTCAGTAGACGATCTTCAAATCAGAGGGAAAGAAATAGGAAGTGTTATAGTCCATAATTCTGATGTTGCACTAACAAACTGGAAATAAGGGAGCATTTCCAAGCTAGAGTGGAGATGCTCCCCCCACTTTCCACTTGCTGAGTCTGAGGTTACCACGTGCAAGAGGCCTGGACAGAGCTGCCCTTGTTAAAATCATGCTCCTAATATGACATTTGAATGATCACCAGGCTCTGCCATTAAACAAGACAATCTAACAGAGGAAGAAGCAGAAAATGCTGGATAAATGTTCATTGAAGCTCAGTATTGGCCTTTTTTTTTCAGCACAAGATAGAAAAATGTGTCAGGGTATCACTGCACGCAAGGAAGATGGAGGATTTGTGAGTGTAAGACCCCTGCAGAGAACTGTATGCAGCAGAGTAGGAAGTGTGTGGCCAAGCAGAGGTACTGCTCTAGTTGACAAAAGGGACAGCACCAAAAGCTTACCCCATTGTACTCCCAGCTGATCAGCTCTTCTGCATGGTGCCAGGGCAAATCAGCTTGGGCTCTCCTATGCCTTGTGTTGGCAGATGGGTAAGCTTAAGAAAGAGCTGTACTGATGGAAGGGATACTCATCTGGATGCCTTAAGACCTATGGTGCAACCATCCTTTCATACACTGCGAGGTTTCCCACAACTCTGACACGAGGCAAGCAGTTGTGGAAGACAAGTAGGAGATGAGACAAAAGCACAGGTCAGGATGAGGATGGAAATTATTCTTTTTATTCAGACATTGCATGGCATGCATCAGGCATGTTGCCAGAACACGGCCGCAGCACCAAACAGACTGTGAATAACTCCTGGCTTGTTGCGGTCTTGGAGTACAAAAAAACCACTGCTTTTCTTTAATTACAAGTATTTAAGGTATATCCTTCCATTCTGTCATGCAGATGTTCTGAAGCACCACGGCAGCATCAGAGAAGGTGCTGTGTGAGAAGGCACGTAATGACTGAAGCTGCAAGGATGTGCGCTTAGATTTACCCAGGGCGCACTTACAAGCACACCTGACCTGGAACAGTGACATCTGAAGGCCTAGCCTGCTCCCTCCCCATGGTCCCAGCAGGTGGCATGTCTCCGCACCTGAGCAGAAGACAGCATGGTGCTGTTTTCAGACTGTGCTAATCCCATCGTGTGTTTTGAAGATGATGTGTTTCCTATTGCCTTTCACCTTGTGACTGCACAGATCCCTTCTGCTGGATGGCAATCTTAGAGGATGCTGATGGGAAATCCCAGGAAGCTGCTCTCTGATCTAAGTCATGCTGCTGGCAGAGGGAAGTCTCTGACACATGCAGGCATGGCACAGGGTGGTCCCTGCTGCCTGGCACATACTGCAGTTGATAGCCCTCAGCAGGAACTTGCATTCAATATTATACTGTCTAAGAGGCTTAAAATTGACTGTGAAGCTTCAGTACAACTACAAAAAAATCTTGTTTTCAGTTTCTCCTATGGTGGATTGCTCCAGAATGAGACAGAGCAATTTGGTAATTCATTCTTGGAGTATGCATATCTGCACTGGAGTATTTGGAATCAGATTAAGGAATATGAAAAGCAGTCATTCACTTGAACTTCCCTTGTGGGAATGGTAGCTGCCCAGACACATTCCCCATGAAGATGGGAAACGTGACAGAAATCAGAGTGCTGCAGAAAAAAAACAGAGCAGTTTCTAGTGTCATAACAGGACTTGACAAATGATGCTGTCAGAATAGGACTGGGCCTAAGAGTCCATTGAAGCCACCAGCCCAGGAGTAGGAATGGCTATGGAGAGCCACTGCAGCTTTCCCATTGCTGTATGTTTCTTTACACTTCAGCCTTCCTCGCCTTTGCTTAAGCCTTGTGCCTTGCTCTGAGCTGCTCCAATGGGCAGAACTCAGGAGCGTGCTGGCTCAGATGGCCCTCGCTCAGTGCAGCGCGTGCTGCACAACCCCCTTAGCTGTGCAGAACATGGTGCCTCTGGTCCCCGCCTTCTCTCCAGGGAACCATGCAGTCCAGCATGGTTTCTCCTGCTTTATGTCCGCCCGGCACACTGTTGTCGCTGCAGACAGTTCAGCCACTGCTGATTGTGCCCTCTGAAAAAGGACTAGCACTATGGCTGAACTGAATCCTGATGTGGCGGTGCAGAGGGGTCGCTTGGAAGCAGAGAGCAAACTGATACAGAGACAGTGCAGGATGTGTCAGGATCAGTCCTTGCACATGATCCTGGAGTACTGAAGAAAAGTATGAACAAGTGTTTGCAATTAGCTGCAAGCATGCATTGCTCCCCACCTCATCCCCGACAGTGGCCAAGAGCTATCATCTCGGATGGTGTTAGAAGACACAGCTACTGCACACTGCCCACAACGCTGCGACGTGCAGCTCAGAGGCCTCAGAAGCAAAAACAGGGTCTTCTATCTAAGTACTGCAGGTGGATTTTTTTCTCCCATGATGATACTTAACCTCTTTTTGAATGCACGTAAACCTCGATGACCCACCGCATCCTCTCCTAAGCAGTTTGACACAGCATAGGGCATATTTATTAAAAAAAAAAATGCTTTTTGTTTTGTAGTCACTACCCGCTTATTTATGGAGGCACTGATGGTTCTTATATCAAAGGGACAATGAGAAATCACACTGCAGTCAAACTCTGTATGCCAAACTTGATTTTATAATCCTGTCACACTTCAACCATCTCTTCTCTGGGCTAAAGAGACTTTCTACTTTTCCTCATATGGAAGATATTCTTTGTATTTGATCTGCCTTGTTACTCTTCTCTGAAACCCTTCCAACTCTGTTTTTCTTGAGAGAGGCCAACCAGAGTTCCATATGGTAATCACAATGCAGTCTCCACTATGGCTCTGTTCAGTGGCATGTATCTGATCTGCTCTCCGTTATTTTCCTAATTTTTAACAGTCAGTTTGCCTTTTGGAATGCTCCTGGACACTGAGAAAATATTTCCATAGAACTGTCCCTGTCAGTCTCTATCTGGTTTTATTTCCTTTCTCCCCAATCACTTCGTCCTGAAGAGGGAACAGCTACAGTACCTGGAGCTGCAAGCAAAACCTCACAAGAAAGAAAGTGCAAATGTCCCAGAACTTTTGCAGGGTTAAGACCACCTGGCAGCATCGCATGTCTTCAAAATCAAGGACAACTACTAAATATCTGAAAAACAAGGCATTA